GAAAATATAGTGAGCACCCCAATTTAGATTTATTTGGCTCCCGAATGAAAAGCTAATGTATCCTCCTCCAAAAAAATGCAACGTTTTCAAAGAAAGAAAGAAGTTTAGTGTAGAAACGCCATCTGAGCGCTGCTTGGTTTCCGAGCCGAAATCAATATATTCGCGAAACCATGAGCCAAATATAGAAAAACTGCATTTTTGTGTTTTTTCTCTCTGATGTCACGATTTTTTTAAGGACTTTGAAATTAGAAAAATACGATTACTTCAAAAAAACTATTTAAAAAATTCAGTGTAATATAAAATTAAGTAAGGGTATCAAATTAATAAAAGCCGATTACATTTTTTGTTGCGTAAGGACGATAAACGTCCTTTTATAATTATATCCTTGAATATCCTTGAAATTTTGCTGTATTAATTTGTACGTCGTCCTTCTTACTTTATAAGCTTCGTTGCTCTTTAATGAAATTTGGCGCACAGATCGGCTATAACTTGGATTAACCAATAGGATATTTTTTTAAGAAAGTTTCCACCTTTTTCAGAATCTATTAATTAATAAGTTGAATTAAATATTACAACGTTATGTTGTCAAACTAAAGAGTTTGCAAAACGATTTTTATCGCGCAGGGGCTGCCACCTGTTAAAAATTTAAAATCAAAGAAATACATAGTTAAGTTAAATAAAACATCGCAACAATATAGGTGTCGGACGAAAGCGGTTCAAGAACGATTTATTTAAAACGGATCTTTAATTGATGTTAATATTATAACCGCGAAAGATTGTGAGAAAACTTTTGGAGATAGCTTATGGCCTGCGGTTGGTGAGCGGGTTTCCATCTACTTAAAAAGTAAACTTCTATTTCAATTCAAAGAATTCATAACATGAATGCAAACGACAATGATTTAAAAAGTTATACTACGAAAAAAGTTTGAAGAGGATTGCCACCTTTTTAAAAATTTAATTCAATTGTATTAATAAAGAATATATGGTTATTAAAATATGGGTGGCTAATGAATGAGGTTTAAGAAATCGTTATAACGACAATTTTTTTAAAAAGGGTTGCCACCTGTTTGAAAGTCGCCTTGTATTAAATTAATATGTTAATTGAAAAACTAGAGAATCATGTCAAGTTAAAAAAAAATATGTTTGGGTAGACTTTCGGATACATTTATTTCAAAATGAGTTGCCACCTATTTTGAAGTGTAATTAAATTGTATCAGTTATTTTAGCCCAATATTTCAATATGGATTTCAAACAAAATATATTGAAAACCGGTTTTATTTTTAAAAGGGTTTCCACCTACTTTAACTTTAAAATATTTAAAGAAATATTGCATTAAAGAGACAGTGTGTCAGCATTTCAAAAAATCAAATTCAATATTTTTCAATTCAAATATTCTTCACCTTGCACCAATTTCAATCTTTTTAATCTGCTTAAGCTAAATGAAATATAATAACATATAACAAAAAAGTGTTGATATATAGTTTTATTCAGATACATTTTTTAAAAGAATTGTTCTTTTCATACTGAAATGGTCGATTTAGTTGAAATTCGACACATTGCCCATGTTCTGGAAGCTAGAGAAGTCGAGCAACTCCTTTAAGTGAAATTTTTTACTACCGGCAATATAATTTATTTATTTTTATTACACTTGAAATCATAACGTTAAACCAAACTTCACTCAGGCGGTGCTGCGCTAAAAGCTAGTATTTTATACATGTAGCTAATATTGGTAGGCACTTCTCATTAGTGCCACTCTGTGATAGTGGTATCTCTGATCATGATCATAAAAGACAAGCATGTCCAACACTGAAAAGAAAGCGTGATAAAAAAAAATGTACATAAGCAGATAAAGGGTGGAAGTGACTATGCAACTGTTCAGAAAAGCTTTTCTTGACCTTTCAGAATTTTTATGAATTTCTTTGTGACTGTTCGGAATGTTTCAGACTGTTACCTGCATACGCTACTTATCAGGAATACTTGTTTTAAATTTTGCCTTTTAGGGGTAAGAAAAAAAAGGTATGGGGTTTTCTTGTCCGAAATATTTATAGTTGAAATTAAAATTATTTTTCTCATATTCAACATGAACTACGTCAAACCAGGTATGCGCCATTTCGAACATGGGCTGTTTGCCATATTTGTGGATAACCTTAATATCTGTCGAAATTTCTCGGTGTATTAGTGATTTTCACTACCTTATTTTTAAATCAACTTAACATAACTAAGAAGGTTCTGAAGACGCGGGAATAAATATTAAGCAGTCGTTAAAGTGAGTATGATAGAGCTTTAGTCATCCGGCACACTTATGACCGCCTAAATACCGATTTTGCTTAACCATTCGCATTATTTCATAGACATAGTAGGTTCCCTAGGTTAAATTAAGATTTATGCCCTTAGCAAGGTGGTAACTTAGCTCATAAGCATTGGTACGTTATGATTCCACTGCGAACGGTAACTGCTAGATTAGAGCAAAAGTCTATAACAAAGTTTTGCAGGTGACAGACCGGGAAAATCCTCCGGGCCAATTAGAAAATATTATCAAAGTTTAAGTATTGAGATGACTTCACCTCGTCGCCCTCCATGCAGCTGCAATGAAGTGTATCCGTTGTGATGTTTAATCTGACTGCGTGAATGCCAATCAGACAGTGACTTGTAAGTACATACAACAGAATTGATAGATGTGACTTTGTGAGTCTATGGAGATCCTTAGACCACCTTCCTTAGTTCAGCCTCGGCCAGGACGACCATGCAGTGCATATGCTCTGATTTTTTTACAGCCTTCGCTGAGTTGAAACGAGGTCCCTTGAAAAGTCCAGCGTACTGTAAGCGAGCACAGGGCTATGAATATCGCCAGACTGTCTCGAGCATTTAGGTGTTGATTTCTCTAATCACCAACGCGCCTAATTGTGGCCAAGCGATTGCTGTCTTAATAGCATCAACCTCTGCCTAGAAAACACTGCAGTGATTTGGATAGCAGAGACTTGCTTACTATTATTTTCATTTCATAGAATTTCAAAATATAACGAATTTCCTCATTGTTCTCACTCATTCTTGCGTCATTATTTGATTGAACCAATGTAGCTTTCACAGGTCTTTTAAATGCTAGACACTCGATAGACTTTTTTGTGCTGATTAAGATATTTTAAGATCAATCAGCTCAAGGTGTAAACAAAAACTTTTTTTTTTGCAATATTTGAAAAGCAAAATACCAAAGTTGAAGGAAACTTCCACTTAGGCTGAAATTAAAGCTAGAACCTTCGACTACTATAATCTTTGCTCCTTGACTTGATGGTCGCTGATAGTCATTTATTGAACAATAAAAAATAATTGAACATTGTGCTATTGAAAAAAAAAATAAAATTGTGCTAAAATTAATTTTTGCTGTTCGATAAATTACTATAAGTGACCATCAGAGCAAGATGCAGCGATGAGATATAGCTTCTCAAATATTGCAAAAAACGCAATTTTTTTTACACTTTGACCTGGGTTTCCTCAAAATCTATAGTTCGTGGAAACTACACTTTCGAATTCGTAGCCAACATGAAAAAGGCTATCAAAAATAGCTTTAGCATTTGCCGAACTAAATTTGTTTCTAATTTTTTGTTCGCCTGTGTTATCTTTATTTATGACAAAATAGAAATAATTGAATGACAAAGAATTAAACTCGAAATGAAAACCAATTTCGTTGGTTATATTAGGGCGTATTCTTGTTTTCATATAAATGGAAAATCATGAAATTTTTCTATTATCAAATTTTCGATTCGTACGAAAAAAAAAATAATATCAAAATTTTTTTTTTTTAATTTTGGCAAAACCGCATTTAATAAAATTAAGTTAAATATGTTCGAAGAATAACATCAACAATTTGTATTATTTTGGCAAAACCACGTTTACTAAAATTAACTTAAAAAGTTTTCACTCGCAGTCCTTCAAATATTTTATATCGAAAATCAGTCACTTTTCGAAAGCCATTTTGGCCACTTTTTATGCCACACCATTGCCGATCCTTTTAAATTTACCAAAGCTAAAATCAAACAAATCGAAAATGCCAGATTGCATTTTTTAAGTCTGAATACACATTTTTTTTATTAATATTTCTTAATAACATAACTAGAATCGTACATAAATTCCTAAATTACATAAAAAATTTTATGTACTAAGACAGTCGAATACCCCCAAAAAAAATGCCACAGTCAACCCTTTCACCGCTCGAGAAAAACTGCCACAATTTGTTGAAAATAATAATTTTGGCGCCAAAGGAGTCAACGGCACATAACACACATACATCCACGAAAAAAACAATGCGCGTAAAATCGCCATTTATACACCTATACTGTACGTGTGGCGGCTCTCTTGTGTACAGATACGAAATCAAAAGCTTTTTCACACACAAACACACACATCTACAGCAAACATATACACTATCGGTGTAACATTTGTGGCTTTAGTGCATACAACACACACACTGGCGACGCGTATATGTACACGAATTTGGCTTTACACCGATTCAGTAGAGCTTTTTACGATACTTCACTTTTACTCTCAACTCACTTGGCACATGCTCGCAGCTGCGCTCTACACTGCTGCCGCCTATAACATCATAAATGTCTTTTCCTTGCGCTTTTAATTTTCATAAGACTACCATCGTTTGCGGCTCTGTCGCAGCTGCATTGCTGAGCGTTTACTACCTCCTGCTCATACAGCAGCTGCTGCTGATGCCGCAGTCCTCAATTTTTTATTACAAAATTATTTTTGTTATTTCTACAATAGAGTGCGGCTAATTGCAAAAGGCGCCGTGAGTAAATTGCGCGCTTTTGGCGACGTTTCTGTTTCGCTGCTGCTGTGACTACGGCTGCTGCTGCTGCTGTTAACTGTTTGGTCGCATCCGTGCCTCACCCTTCACGCCCGCTAATCAGACCATCCGTCAACGCCTGATCGCCGTTCTATAAGCATGCGTCGGTATAAAAGCTTGTGGCGGCTGGTCAAAATTATTCAGTATCTGTTGTAGGTTCGTTGTTATTAGAACGACCTCAGCCTCCAAGTAATATTTACTTTGAATTTTTTTGGTTGAGTTGAGTTTAACCAAAAACATTTGTGTTCATTTCAGATTCATTTCATTTCTATAAATTTGAGTTCTTAAAGCGGCGAACAACAACAAAGGCGAACGTATAGACCACTGCGTTTAAGTTGTTGGTGTTGGTTAAAATTTGTGAAACAAGATGAAATCATTGGTATGTTGGTGTGAATAATAAAGTCAAATAAAAGTTTTTAAGTGAAAGACACTCGAAAAGACTAAAAAGTGCACAATAAAGGCACACAAAAACAGTGAAGAAATGCATGCAAATGTGGGAAAACTACAGCACATAAAACTAAATAAAATAAAGACTTTGAAATGCAAATGGATTTAAGAGACAAACAGCAGCAGATTCAAAGTAACATTCTTGAAAAAAACGGCGATTATTAATTTTTTTCACACAAAAAATGTGCTTAAATAAATGCAAATCTGTTTAACTTCTTATTATAAGACTTAAATTGTTTGTGACTTTTTAAATTTTTTTCATGCATTTTGAATTGTTAACATCATACGGTGGAAACAAATGTTTTCTTATTTCAAAAATGTAATGTTTCGCTGATTAAAAAAAACAAAAAATTTATATTTTTGATGCTTTCATATTTTATATTTAAAAAACAGCTACTTTTCATGCAACATCGAGTTTGTTTCTTAAGTCTTTTGTTTTAAAGTATTTGCACTTAGGCTAGGTTCATGACCTGGCGGAAAATCGCTAATACCGTTCAATTGTACAAGAGTTTGTCTTTGTGAGCGCTAGTAGCGATTTTGATTACGTCGCGCGATACGAATTCGCTGGCTCATAAACGTAGCCTTATTTGTTCTGAATTAGGTATTTGTGCTAAGCAAAAGCGTGCCAATACAAAAAATTTCGATGTTGAAATCGGAAAATTTAATGAATTTACAGTCCATTTCGCTTTCGGAATTGTTTGAGGCTGAAAGGAAGAAAATTAAAGCAGCCGTAACCCCGAATATTTTTTTTTACGAATTCAAGTAAGCTGCCCAACCTAAGCTAAGACCAGTTTTTTGTCATAGTCAAAATTTCGAAATACGTAGTAAATTTTATATCGCACACTGATATCTCACAGTGCCATGCACTTTCTTCCATACAAAGCTTGGTCGACAGTTTTTATATGGCAAAAAAAAATTTCAAAAATCAACGCCATTTTACAGGCAATTTTTTAAACTAAAATTTATTGAACTACAAAACTGCATATCCGAAATTTTTCTAAAATTATTATAACCCCATTCACTGCAGGTCATACGGATAGCGCACACAATTTTTTTTTTTTTTTTTTTGAATTTGTATAAAATTTTAAAATCGAACTTACACGTTTTTGCTTGAAGAACATGCTAGATATTTATACAAAAAAATTTATGGACGTATATATTGAGGGTCAAAAGGGTGCACTAACTACAGTGTAATTAGCAAAATAGTGGCAACTTTCTTCAGACTTTTCTGGATTTCTAAATTTACATTTAAAACTGAGCCTTTTTTTGGAGTTTTCTGATCATGATGATCCGCGACTTCAACGCAGACGGCTGCAAAAAAGTAACTGCAAAACACGAATATATCTTAAAGTGTTAGGTTCGCGACCATAACTGTTATAGTCTTTATAATAAAAATCATAATTTCTGATCAAATATAACCGTTGTTTTATGACTTTTATTTTGTCGATCAAGAATAATTGGTACTTTTGGGTGTTTTTTCGATAAAAGTTATCGTTATATTTAATTTTTTATTTTTTTTTTTGGTAATGTTATTTTCACATTTAATTCCTTATATCACAAAATATTTAAATCGGTCATAAAAATGCATTTTTCCATGCGGTTAAAAGTGAAAGATAAAAAACTTAAATCAATATAACGATTATTTTTTATCTAAAAATAAAAATCACAAAATAAGGATTAAATTTTGCCGAAAAAAATTAAACTGAATTACGTTTTGGTTTGGAAAAAAAAATAAAAGCATAAATTTTAAGTGATCTAGAAATAAATAATTTTGATATTTAGATTTACTAGGCGACTAAGTTAGTAAACCAATAATTTTTAAACATATTTAAAAAAAAATTTTTTTAATAAACTGTTTTAGTTTCAAAAGCTATGAAGTATTGAAATATAAGAATAGAATTTATAATTAAACATTTTAAGTTTAAGAAAACCTTAAGCATTTGAAATGTATAAAGTTTTAAATGTAAATAAATTGTTATTCTCAAGGTTGCTAATCTAACCATAACCACCAAAAAGATGTAAGCGACATTTTTTTTTGTATTTATTTTTTATTTTTTTGAAGCAGAAATGTTCGTAGAACATCTACCTGCATTTCTGAATCAAATATAAAATTTTGAAGTAAAATGTCGTTAAGGTTTTTTAAGCGGTTAGTACTCGATTAAATGTATATACATAGATGCCCATATTACAAGTTTTAGTAGCCCACTGTTTTTTTATAAATTTTTTAGTTCCTAGAAACTTTAAGCTATTGAACAATATTTAAAAAAAGTTAAACCATCGTTGATGTTTTACAAAATTGAAAATTTTTGAAAATTTTTAATTTTTATTTATTATAAAAATTTTAAACGAAATGCTCTAAAGTTGTCCAGTGTTATTTTAAAATATATGTATATCGCGAGAATTGCCCAAAGGCTTTTCAAGTTTAACGCGTACATCGGTTTTGTTTGCAATTTTATGAAGTTACACATTAGGGTGGTCCAAAAAAAGCGAATTCGGAATTTTAATGCCCTCACACCCTAGGATTGTTCTATACCGAAAAAAATTATTACCCTGTTTGTTTTTTGTATAATTAAAAAATATTTTAAAAATTTTACATATATTTTATATGGGAAGAAACAGGTTTTCGTAGAAAAGGTATCAAATTCTTGAAAGTCAATATTTTTCTATCTGAAAACTTTGCTTCTCTTCAAGGGAAGTCCAAAAACAATACAAGATGGTTTATTTAACCATTTTCTATTATTAACTTTTTTATAGGACCCCTAAAGATCTGAAAAAAGCAATAGGAGGTCCTATAAAAAATTTCTAGTGCTAAAAAATAGTACAATAAGCAATTGGATAATATTATTAGAAGTCTCCTAAAGATAAATAAAGTTTCCCGGTGGAAAAATATTGATTTGCAAGAATTCTATATCATTTCTACAATAAGTTGTTTTTACCCATATAAAATATACGGAAAACTACATGAGCTTTTGGGCAGTTCTAAATATCATTTTTTTTTTTTTTAAGTGGAGGTATTCTTTTTTCCATTTAAAAACATCCTCGGAAGTGAGGGCTTAACATTTTAAAATTTTTTGTACCACCCCATTATACATACTACCTTTTTCCCAGTGTAGCGCATGTATTTTAAAACTCTAACTATGAAAATCAGCTAATGGTTTAGAGAATTTATCGCAAACGCAAGTTTTTTTCTATTACCTTCTAATACGCGGATAATTATTTTTCTATGTATAGTGCAATAGTTTGTTTCAAAAAATAAAAATGAAAAAAAAAACTCTCCAATATTTTGCTGGTTTATAGTAAATTTAGAATTATCTCTGCAAACTCAATTGCCCAACAATAAAGATTATGAACTTTGGAGTCCAATTTTTTCAAGTAAATTTTTATATTTTGAGAAGAGTTTTTTGTGTCAAAAGTGTTAGGCAAACCTTTATAAAATTTAGTTCCTTCATGTTAAGATTCAGAGGAGATAATATTTTTTCATATAAAATATCCCTATGACAAGTAGAGTGTCTTTAAGATGTCTTGTCAATATTTTCAAAGAAGATTGAGATGACACAGAGCTTGATTTCTAAAATTTTTTTGGTTTCAATTCAAAGAGATACGTACTTCCGAGAAAGCTTGATTTCTATAATTTTTTTTTCAATTCAAAGAGATACGTACTTCCGAGAAATAACTTTTGTATAGAGACTCCAAGGTCAATTCATTTAATCTTATAAAATTTTCAATTCAAATTTAATCACAATCTCATACATCATTCCCCGAACCTGTTTACTCAATCGAAATGCCACACAAATTTTGCCCAATGCCAGCTTTTTCTTTTACACGCGCCAAAGCCTCTTTATTAGCTTATCAAGAAACAAGCTGACAACCTTGCCAGCATGAAAGTGAAATGCAGTGGCGCCCTTAAAACAAAACAATAATAGTGTAATACAATACAAAAAAAAAGTTATTATAATTTTTATTGCATAATTGTCACTATGCGTTTCGCATTGAACTTGGCTCAAAGCCAAAGTAAACAGTAACGAAGCTAACAAAGCAAAGCTCAGCCGGGTGTATACAACAAACAAAAGTCAAGCCAAAGCGACTGTGGTATAAACATATTAAAACAGCGCATGCGCAAATTACCAGCACACTAATGACGAGGTGTCGTAAAAGGAAGAAGTGCAAGCAAATTGGAGAAAAAAAAACACGAAACAGAAAACAAACAAACAAAACAACTACAACGGCACATACAAATTTTGTGGCTAAAACAACGCCAACGACCACAACTGTTGCAATTTCGTATCACGTAACTATTGTTATGAATTTTTATTGACTCAATTTAATTATTTTCCACACTTCTTTTGCGGCTAGCATGCCACAAAATTTTTGTCATACACACTACGGAGTAGAAGCCAGACATGCAATTTTTATTATATGATCGCCTTTCCGTTTTGTTGGCAATTTTTTTCCTAATAAATTCTGTTAGTCGCTATTTGTTTTATTAGTACGAATTAAATTGCTGAGCAATTTTGGTCACTGACATCACTTGACCGCGCATAGAAAAGGAAGCGCAGGCGCAATTGTTCAACATACATAAATAAATAATGCTCGCAGCTGTTGGTGTGTTATTGCATTTATTGTTGTTGGTTGTATTTACCCAACGAAAAAATTACTTTTGCTTTTGTCTTAACGGCATACCCGCATTGCCAGCCAGAAATGGCTAAGTGCTGACCAATTGTGGTCACTAACTATACGCTTGCCGATCGGCTGGAACTAGTCGGTGCGGAAGTGCTACCATTTTTGGAAACACATAAAATACGGGTTAATATGTTAGCACGTCGAATGGACATCGGTGGCCTAGTTTTTTATTACATAATAATCGTTAGATGGCAACTCGATTAATGTGTTCAATAAAGATGGTAGCTCATGGAGCAGAAAAAAAACTTTAGTTAACGGAACTTTACAGGTTCGCCTGAAAACATGAAAAACTATTTTTTAGCAAATGCTAATGAAATGGGCAAGCGGGATTCTTTACCTTAGGTTTTTTTTTTCAACAAATTATAACAAAAATTTTTTCCAGCTTTTGGTAGGAGGTAAGTAAGGTACACACAGACACTTTTAGTGCATAATTTCAAAAATGCCAAATTTGGAGTTGGGTCACTTTTGGAGATAGTGTGCAATATGTATATATAGAGGTTGCTCGGAAATGACTCTTAACGATTTAAACGATGAAATTTTTAATACAAATAAAGTTCTATATTCTAATGTTATTTTGATAGATAGCATCACCGATAACATTCATATAAGGTTGCCACCTATTAGAAATTAGTTGCAAATTTAAAAAAAAAAAAATATCATAATATGGTTACCAAATGGAACGTATTTCAAAAATCCCTAATCCAGACATATTTTTGAATAGGGTGGCCACCTATTTTTCAAAGTATCTTTATTTAATTTTTTTTTAGAAAGTTAAGATACCATATTACCCTTTATAGGTAGTGAAATAAAGCTCTTACGTAATGATTTGCTAATATCTTTTAGGACATGTGTGTAAGGTTGCCACTTATTTTCGATTTTACAAAATTTAATAAAAAAAATTAAATTGGATATCAANTAAAGCTCTTACGTAATGATTTGCTAATATCTTTTAGGACATGTGTGTAAGGTTGCCACTTATTTTCGATTTTACAAAATTTAATAAAAAAAATTAAATTGGATATCAAATGGCAGGCATTTTTAAGCACAATAATTCAGAGATATTTTTGTAGAGCGTTGCCAGCTTTTTAATAAAAAAAGTTTATCTTATTATTTTCAAAGAGCATTTTTTTANAATGGCAGGCATTTTTAAGCACAATAATTCAGAGATATTTTTGTAGAGCGCTGCTAGCTTTTTAATAAAAAAAGTTTATCTTATTATTTTCAAAGAGCATTTTTTTGTATGTATTTGTGTAAGTATACACAGTACATATTTACTTGAAATAGAATAGGTACACTCCTATTAGTAGGGTTGCCACCCAATATCGAATGTAAGATATCTATTTAATTTATTATATGCCGATGTTTATGCAGAAAACGAAGCCTAAAAATATGTTCCACTTAACTATATAAATTTATATACACTTTTTTTATAGTTTTGTTTTACATAGTTTTAGGCTTTGTTTTCTGCATAAACATTAATAGTTTCATAAAAAAAAGTTTTTTAATTGGTTCCAAAATACTTTTGTTTTAGAATTCTGAGTAACAAAGTAGGCTACATTTGACGATATTTTTGGTTATCAACATTGCATTTTCAAAGGATTTTTTTTTGTTGTTGACTGTATACTAAAAAGGAGATTTTTTTTCTTCTACTGAATACTGAGATACTTACGAGGCTAAAATAATTATTGAATTTATAGTATTTTTTATAAAACTAATTTTTATTAATTGGATTAGATCTTGGCTTATGTACTTATACGTATGTATGTTATAAATTTCATTCACGATGTTGCATAAAAAGTATTTATAAATTAAGCTATCAAAATTACCATTATTTGAACCCTAACTTTGAAAATTAAAAAAAAAAAAAATTATATGCACACCGAGCAAAGGTCGGTCAACCTGGTACTTTTTTAGAAAATGTTTTCATTTTATTAATAATCGATAAATTTTTATTAAATTTTTACAATAGTGTTCGTTTTCCTAACAGAATTGACAGCTCGTTTCACAGCTGCTAAAGGCTTAACTGTTAATAACAGGCACTTAAAATTATTAGGGTGTGAGCTGAAAATTACAGCAAAGGGAAATTTCTTTGTCAGCACCGTAGAATGCTATAAAATCTACACTCAAATTAAATGTATCAAAGCGAAATGGACACAATTAGAAAAATCCGATTTCTAAACAAAGTTATTCTAAATTAATCCGACACAGTACGAGTCAAAATTGCTGGCACACAGCCAATAAAAAAAATTTAGGAATGATGTATTGTGGAACGATTTTCCGCCATGCCATGTCAAATTTAGTTTGGAGGCAAACCTGTTTTAGCGTTGTGCCATCTTCAATGTCATTTTTTCTTGATAAGAATTTGACAAAGGATGACGAAAAATCGTTCGTACTGAGAACTTTAAACTAATTTAAATTTTGAGAAAAAAATATATATATATGTATATTAAAATCTTATTCACTGACTTTTATCCTCTACTCTTTCTCACTTTAATTCTCTCTTTCCAGTTCATTTTCGGCCTTTTGGCCTTATCGACCTTCACCTATGCAGAGGAGGCGCAAAAAGCCGCCGAACCTAAATCCGCTGAACCCGCACCTGCCGCCACCGAAGTGAAAGCCACCAGCACAGCTGAAAAGAAACAGGAGAAACGTGGCATTATTCACGGCACCGGCTACGGCTATGGTGGTGGACACGGCTATGGCGGTGGATACGGCGGTGGTGGTATCCTACTAAGTGGCGGACATGGTGGTGGTGGGCTCATCGGCGGCGGTGGAGGCAGTGGTTACGGTATTGGTTTAGGCGGCGGCTTAGGCGGCGGATTAGGCGGTGGTATACCTACCAATGTACAAACCAACTACGTGGAACGTCAAGTGGCCGTACCCTACCAGGTTGAACGCGCTGTACCATATCCAGTCGAGCGAATCGTGCAAGTACCCGTACAAGTACCAGTGCCGCAACCCTACCCTGTCGAGAAAACTGTACAAGTGCCAGTTAGAGAGCTCGTCAAAGTGCCCGTACACATACCACAACCCTACCCCGTAGAGAAGATCGTACATGTGCAAGTGCCCGTGCATGTGGATCGTCCAGTGGCAGTGAAAGTGCCCGTTCCAGCACCCTACCCAGTGGAAAAGATCGTGCAAGTACCCGTTAAAGTGCCAGTACCACAACCCTACCCGGTGGAGAAGATCGTACAAGTGCCCGTTAAGGTGCCCGTACATGTGCCACAGCCGTACCCAGTTGAAAAGGTGGTGCAAGTGCCGGTTAAAGTGCCCGTCGATCGCCCTTACCCAGTGCATGTAATCAAGCCATACCCGGTGCCTGTTGAGAAACCTGTGCCCTATACAGTTGAGAAGCGCGTCACCATACCCGTGCAGGTGCCAGTCGACCATCCAGTGCCAGTGCCAGTCGATCGGCCAGTGGCTGTGCCCGTTAAGGTTGCTGTACCCAAACCATATCCCGTCATCAAAGAAATTCCAGTGCCCGTGGAACGTCAAGTGCCTTACCCCGTGAAGGTGCCAGTCGATGTGCCGCGTGCCGTGCATATCGAACAGCACGTTCCTGTGGCCGTTGAGCAGCATGTGCCCTACAAAGTGCCCGTTCCAGTGCCAGTCCATCTGGAAAGCCATGTCGGACATGGTATCGGAAGCTATGGTGGACATGGGATCGGAGGCTATGGTGGACATGGCATCGGAGGCTATGGTGGACAATCGGTCAGCTATGGTGGTTCGTACGGCTATGGAAATGGACATATCCACAAAAAGAAGTAAATCGAAGCGAAAAGTGGCTCGCTGAGGGTGTGAGATTTTTTGTTTAGAAAAAGGACTTACATATGTACATTTAGAAATTATGATTATTTAGTTGAAAATTTAAAATGCATGGCCATTATTGCTCGGAAAAAAACTTATTCTATGGAAACTGCGCTAAAAAGGGATTGAAGTGAAATGAGAATAAGAGCGTGTAAAATAAGCTTCATCGGCGTTTGCTTACTCTTTCTTTTTATTTGTCTTTTCCCAGATGTATATTTTAGTTTTTAGTTTGTGATAAAATTTTCGAATTAAACGAAGGCATTGGGCAAGTACGAACGCCCTAAAGGGAAGCGCCATAGCGACTGCCAATGATGGAAATGTTTTTGAAGCCAAGTGGGCAAACAATTTGTTACACGATTGGAGGGTGTGGAACTTAAGTTAAGCATGAAATTAAAGCAAGGAATAATCACGAAGTTTTGGGCGAATTGTAAATAGTAATTGTAAATGTTTTAGCAAAAATACGATAGCTCTTTTGATTTACCAAAATTTATAGCGTTTCCTTTAATTTCATTTAAAGTCCATAAACTTGCCTGCCGCACCTAATTTTCTTTAAAAAAAAAATATGCACAGATTCGTAGTTTGCAACCTTGAATTGTGCGAATATTTCTTTATCTATTGGCAATTGCATTTTTCATCCGCTTCTCACAAGCGTCTAGTGCTAACAGCTGTCCTTCAATTATNTCCATAAACTTGCCTGCCGCACCTAATTTTCTTTAAAAAAAAAATATGCAGAGATTCGTAGTTTGCAACCTTGAATTGTGCGAATATTTCTCTATCTATTGGCAATTGCATTTTTCATCCGCTTCTCACAAGCGTCTAGTGCTAACAGCTGTCCTTCAATTACGTTTTTGTAAAAAAACAAAATGGTATGATCTTTTTTGTTTTTGTACGAATTATTAATTTGTATATAATTTAATTATGTAAATAAAATGACGACAAGATATTATCGATGAGTATATAAGAAAATAAACAAAAAATTGTTTTATTTAATTGTACAAGGTGGCGCAAAATTAATCAGCCAATTTTGTTTTTGAATAACTTTTTTACAAAATAAAAAACTTCTTTTGAGTGATGGAAATCTTTACTTGGACCTTTAAAATTTTTTCTGTTTAGTGGAAAAAAATATATCCGTCAAAAAAATTTAAATTTGCTATTTTTGCCATTTTGCGATCATTTATCAGTTTTTTTCTAATTTCTGAGATAAAATACGACCAAATTTTGTTGAACCGTGTTATCTGAGACTTGTTGGCATAAACCTGCTACTATAGGGGAAAGTTCCATACTTCTGCTTTTGCTTAAGGTTATATTTTTTCGCTTTTTTTCTATCAATGTAGATCCCTACCTCTACCACAGTTCGTTTTAATAACATTCATGTTATTCTGTTTTTAAATTATCTTCATTTTTATCTTCATACTCTATCGATAACAAAATCGATTATAACGTCCATCAAAATATTGATAACAAAAACGATTACAAATTCGATAAAAATTTCAATAGCAACATCGATAATACCATTGGTAGCTAAATCGATTAGAAAATCAATATAAAAATGTCGATAACAAAATCGGTAAAGATCGATAACAAAATCGATAACAATATCGATAACAAAATCGATAAACATCAATAACAAAATCGATAACAAAATCAATAAATATCGATAACAAAATCGATAAATACCGATAACAAAATCGATTTATATCGATACCAAAATCGATAAATATCGATAACAAAATCGATAACAAAATCGATAAATATCGATAACAAAATCGATAAATATCGCTAATAAGGTAGATAAATATCGATAACAAAATCGATAAATATGGATAAAAAAGTCGATAAGAATCGATAACAGAATCGATAAATATTGATAACAAAATCGATAAACATCGCTAACAAAGTCGATAAATATCGATAACAAAATCGATGAATATCGATAACAAAATCGGTAAGTATCGATAACAAAATCGATTAATATAGATAACAAAGCTGATAAAAATATCGATTATTTAATCGATAAGTCTCGAGAATCTCGAAAATCTCTAAAATCCCAAAATAGATCCCAGATTCAGTCTCTGTGTCTCTCTCTATATCCTTTCCTCTTTAATTACATTTATTTTAATCTTTCTTCCCATATCTTCATCTTTACTTTTATCGGTATCCTCATCCTCATCTTTGTTTTTACTTTTATGTTTATCATTTTCTTCGCAACATATTCCCCTTCACCTTTGCCCTTATATGTATATATAAGTAAAGTGTTTAAATTTACCTTGGTCTTCGTTTTTACCTTTATCTTTACACATCTTTGTTTTTGTTTTTGTTTTTATTTTTACCTTTGCCTTTATAATCTTCTTTATCTATGTACGTACTCACCTTTACTTTCATTCTTGTATTGTTACTTCTAAGTGTTATCCTCTAACCTTTTATTAGCAAGTTTTTGATAAATTCATACCATATGCATACACACAAGAAGTACTTGTTTCAGCCCTAACCACTTCCGTGGCACCATTTAGGTTGCATCATTTCCGTTGCATCATTTCCGTTGCACCATTTCCGTGTGCAATTTCCGCTGAATTTGCCAATTTACTCCCACTCAACCAACCGCCGCTAAAGAAGTTTCACTTCAAAAATAAGTGAAACCAAAGCGTTACATTTGGTGACAGTACTATGTAATCTTCAAATTCTAGAAACCAAGAATATGCGGTCGCCGAAGTCCTCGTAAGAATCATCAAAACTATTAAGAGTACTATAGAGTTTCGGTATTTATGCCATTCATCGAAATGGTCCGCTACGGTGTAGTGTGTTCAAGCCCTGGTCAAATTAACATCGCAAAAAAAAATTTAGAAAAATGGTTTTTTCTTAACAGCGGTCGCCCCTCGGCAGGCAATAGCAAGCCTTCGAATGTATTTCTGCCATGAAACCCAGCTTCTCATAAAAACACAATCGCCGTTCGGAGTCGGCGTAAAACAGTAGGTTGTTGCTGTTGTTGTTGTAGCGGCTACAGCAACCTAGCCCAGATCGGTTAATATCTCAGTCGATGTCGTCAAGCTCAACTAACGGAAGCCCCAAGAAACGTGCAGCCTCAATGGAATGGGTCCACAGGGACAAAGGCATTATTGTTATCGGGTTTTCCGGGCACACGAAGAGATGTTTCGAGTGGTGGGGTATCTCTTCGCATGCCGGACACTCATTTGGCACATCTGCGTTTACTCTGCATAGGTATGAGTTTAACCTGCTGCAGTAGCCAAAGTGAAGTTGGGCTATTGTGGTTCTAGTCTCCCGAGGCAGATGAAGCTCCGTATCGTCGATGTCAGGTGGTTGTGCGCCTATAACGGCATTCACAGGTCTGGAGTCTGCATAACCCGAGACTGAGTCCCTCTGAATGCCGTTCAGGGCCTGTCGATATGCTGACGGGTCCAGAGGCTGCCTAATAAACCCCCGGACCTCGTCGGTCAGTTCGTAGAGATGCCTCCTGACGTGCCTGGGCGAAGGCTCTTCTCTGCAAGCAGTTGGGTGACCATGTCTGTAGCTCCCAACTAGAAACTGCTTGCAGAGCATTGTGTTATGCTCCTTTATTGGGATCATTTTCACCTATACATGCAGGTGGTATTCTGGCGACATCAGAAGGCATCCAGTCGCTGTCCTAAGTGCAGTGTTTTGTGTTGTCTTTAGCTTCATCCACAGCGTCCTTCTAGTCCTCGGCGACCAAGCTGGTGCTGCGTAATTTAAAACCGGCCGACCCATTGCCTTGTATGTTGCCAGCAACGCTTCTTTGCCTTTGCCCCAAGCACTGCCGGCTAGCGACTTGAGGACCTTGTTGCGGCTCTGTACTTTGTTGACAATAGCGTGCGTGCGCAGAGAAGGAAAACAGACTGTCGAATGTTACTCCGAGTATTTTGGAGTTATTCATCGTCGGAATTGGTGTATCATCGACATGAATTCCCAGCGGTAGTCTGGCCTTCGTCCAGGTGGTGAACAAGGTCGCAGAACATTTTGTAGGGGAGAGGGTTAGGCTCCTTGCAGTGAAGAACCGAGAAATCTTGGAGAGATACCCGTTTATTTTCGAACACAAGTCATCAATTCCATTACCAGACGCCATTGTCGAGCAATGGTCGGCATAAGAAACATTCGAGACTTCCTCTGGTGGTTGAGGGAGCTTTGAAATATATAAGTTAAACAGCAGTGGGAAAAGGACACACCCTTATGGAACCTCCTGTTTTATTTTTCTGAGCTTGCTAGATTTGTCTCTAAACATTACCGACGAGTGTCGACCACTCAGATAATTCGCCGACTACCGTTTAAGCCTCTGTGGGAGAGAGGAAGCCTCTATATCTTCTAGTAGCTTGAAGTGTCTGACGGTGGCAAACGCTTTTGACAGGTCCAGCGCTACTTGAATAGTTCTCTCACAGGGACGGTTGCGGTTTAGGCCACGTATTATCTGCGTGTTTATGGCGTTAAGTGCTGTTGTTGTACTGTCCACTTTACAGAAACCATGCTGATACTTCGCTGTGGTCAAATGGTTCGTGAAATACGAGAGCAGCAGGGCCTCTAGTATCTTCGCTACCGGGGAAAGGAGTGTTGTCGGGTGATAAGATTCTCCTTTGTTGGCTGGTTTCCCCGGTTTGAGCAGTGGGACCACTGTCCCCATCTTCCAGATGTCTGGGATGATGGGAGTGGCCATTGACATATTGATAACATCCGTACTATGTACTATGAATATGAATAAAACTCTAAGTCCCTCCCCTTTGTGTGACAACATTCAGGCGCACGCCACAGCTCGGCTAAACACTAACATATGTGTAAGCGCCAATCTATTATTATTATTAAGCAATTTTTTCAACACCGGTTCAAAAAGTTCTGTTCTTGTGAGAGCTCGAGGGTTAAATTGTAGGAAGAGAAGTTGAACACTCTTGTTTTCAAAAGGGCGCCCAATCTACAACCACCAAAAATCGTAAGAGCTGCATAATTTAATATAACGGTAGTTAAGATTATAACAATAATTTATTAAAAGCGACTTAAATTACTCCAGTAACTCAACTTTTGAAATTTTATTTCTTTAAGACTTGATAGTACATAAGGGTCTGTAGAGAATATAAAAGTCACGTACATACATTTGTATGTACCTCTGACCTTCTTCTGTTCGCTCACCCATCAGCGCCAGGCACTCAGAATTTTAACTCAAGTAGGAAGTAACAATATCTAAAATTTAAAACGAATTCAAGAATTAATTAAATACAAATATAATCTGAATTTAGATGGCGAATGCCTAACACTGATGAAAGTACTTGATAAGATTAGTAGCGTTATGGCTCTTTAAAATCTTTCTTATCGGCGGGTGGGCCGGCGTCGCTGCCGCAAACGATTCTTTTTAGCGTAAACCTCTAGTACCAACTTAACCTAATTACTATATCGAGCCCTTACCGCCAAAATAACGTAAGCGACATTTTTTCAAAATTTTATTTTTGATACAGGAATATTCTTAAAGCATCTAGCTGCATTTCTGCATCAAAAAGAAAATGTTGAAAAAAAAAACAAAAATGTCGCTTACGTTATTTTGGCGGTTAGGGCTCGATATATTGCCGCAAAAATAGTTTATGTTTACTTAAGTATTAACACAATCATTGAATAAGGTACATCATTATGAAAGTAACCCGAAGTTG